CAGCCTGCAGTCACGCTGCTGTGGCCCTTGTTTTGCAGGGAAGGCTTCAGTGCGTTGCCACACGTCAGGGGCACAATGGGATAAACCCCAAGGGTCTGGCTTATGGAAAACCACAAGTCATTAAAAAGCCCTGGGCTGTTTCACTTTGAGGTTTTGTCTCTTCCCAGGGTTACAGAGCAGAACTTACAGCTGAGGTCCCTTCTCATCAACTCCTCCAAAAAGCAGCGCGACACCAAAAGGACGAGACTGCAACAGAAAGCAGCCAGTGGGTCAGGCAGGGCTGAGGGCAGAGGCAGGGGGACACAGGGGGGTCCTGCAGCAGCCCAGCCCACCGTTACACACCATTGCACCGGGGTCTGCATCCTCCTCCCCAAACTGCAGCGCCAGGTTGGACACAGCCTGCGTAACGCTCTCCACGGTCATGGTTTCATTGTAAGTGAACCAGTGATTCTGCAGGAAAACAGGGCTTCAGATTATCGCTCTGCTCCCCAAAGGTGACAGTCCTGGATCGTTCACAGGCTGCTCTGCAGCAACACCCCACTGAGAGCTTTGCCCCAGCCCCTCCTGGCAGGCAGTGCACACAGGGAGCGAGGTGCTTGGCCATGGGATGGAAGCGCTGAAGCCCTCGATGCAGAGCGAGCTGAGAAGCAGAGGAAGGGTCCCCCAGAACAGCTGGGGACATCTGGGCCTCGGGTACCAGAGGAAGGCAGAGCACTGTCCTCACACTCGTGGTGCCCACTGAAGGAATGGGGTGGGACTGGCATAAGATTCCCCACCTATTCCACGTAGAGGAATGGCAGCCAATGGAGGCTGCACTGCCCGTCCTCAGGAGCTGCTGCAGGAAGCCACGCTGCCCCCAGCTCCCCTACAACCACCATCCCACACCAAGGACCCCCCCCAGCACCAGCGCCGCTGTTCTGAGGGCTGTCAAGCCTTACCTGAGTCTCCACTCTCGCTTTATCAATCAAAGTCTTGGCATCAGCTATTAAGCCGCTCATGGCGCACCCTGGAATCAGAGAGGGAAAGAAACCACGAGTCATTTCAGCAGTGATTTGCAACCTGCTCTGCCCCAGGCTTCCCACCAGCCACAATGCACACAGCAGAGCCCGGGTGGGAGCAGCCAGCAGCGCTGCAGAGCACGGGGTGGGATGGGGGTGGGATGGGGGTGGGCACAGAGCAAGGCAGCGCTTCCTATGGGTGCCTGCACCAGGCTGGACGCGCAGCCGGAGGGCAGATGCACCACCAGGAGCTCCAGGGACGCTTCCCAGCCTCCCTGATGTGAACCAGTTCAGGGGGACACAGCTGAGGCTTTTTCCAAGAGAAGGGGAACGCATCCCTCCTGCCCTGGGGTTCAGGAGCTGCCCCTGCAGGAGCCGGCAGCACCGAGCTGCTCCCGTCCCAAGGGCTGCACCACAAGCACAGCGAAGGAAAGCAAAGCCTGCAGGAGCTGCTGAGAGCCACCATCCACCTCCTCGGCAACAGGGGCATTTTGGAGGCCTCCTGCTCTTCACACTGACATATTTGGTAACGAGAACTTTGTGGGCCCCCTCGGTGCAGCAGCAGGGGTACAGGCACCAGCGCTCTGGGAGAACCTGGCCTCGAGTCAAGCCTTTACATTGCAGTAATTCCCTGCCCTCTCAGATCTAATTTTGGGACGAGCTTTCATCAGGGAGGTCACTGAAGGTGGGGGTGCTTCAGCTGCCTCTTCCTACTCCTGTAACCACATCCTGCTGGCCTGCAGCCTGGAAAACCAGCGAGCAGAACCCGGTGCTCACGGGGAGAGCTGAGCATTCCCACTTGGATTGCCAGAGCTGCCCGCAGGAAAGGCTTGTCCTTAAACACAGCTTCCAAACCCACAGGGACAGAGCTCTACTGTATGTATTTACACACAGCAGCGATCGGACGGACGTCCTGGGGGCAAGCAGAAGCATGATTCTCCTTACCTATATGGGAATCTATTTCTACAATCTTCTCAATGCTGCTGGGCTCCATGAGCGGGGAGGTGATCCTCTTCTCCACGGCCAGGCAGACGCCCTCCGAGGTCTGGATGCCGATGGCCGTAGAGCCGAGCTGCAAACAGCCACAGTCAGCACCTCCATTCCAAGCAGGACCAGCTGAGCGCAGCTGCACGGTGCTCTGCCAGCCAATGCTATTTGCAGGCACGTCGTTTTGGAGACAGACGCCTCAGGACAGAATCCTTTCCAGGCCGACGTGCCAAGCTGAAAGCACTACGAGCAGCACTCATAGCAGAGGGAAGGTGAGCACCATGATATTCCCCACATATCAGAAGCCAGCAGCTCCAGCTCTCAAGGAACAAAGGAACCGGACCGTTCATCAGCTGAGAACACTGAGAGGCTCAGAGAGGCCGCACGGCTCTGCAGCCACAGGTCAGCTTGCTCACAGGCTGCCTCCCACCTTCCTTGTCAGGGCTGAAAATTCACCTGAGCAAACCGTGCCTCACTCTGAGCTGCACAGCAGCAAGCAGAGAGAATGAAAATCAGACCAGAGGGAGAAGAGTTGTGGCTTTTTCTTTTTTAAAGGGGCACCACATCACAGACTGGGAAGTAAACTCCCTCAGCTCAGGGCAGCAAAGAGAAAGCACAGCGTTCTTTTGCTGCCTGCGAGCATCTGTGGACATTAAGCACCCGATGCCCCTGGTGCCAGATTCTGCAGTCAGTCAGGCTGTGTGAGCACTCAGGATCTTTGGCTTCCAAATGAGCTTTTCTGATTCTGGGAGCAGCTCTTTGGGTTTGGTTTTGCTTTGTGGGTAAATGTTCCAAGCTGCAGCAGCTGTCACTGCTTCCAGTCACACAAAGCAGATGAGCAGAGCTGCAGGAGGCACCGCTGGGTGGAAGGAATTGAGTGCTGGGACACAGACCTCCTGCACTGCAAATTGAACATAAAAGGCTGGCAAAGAGCTGCTGGCAGGAGCAGCACCTATTGGGAAAGCAGTGCCTTCCCACTCCTGCTCAGCACTGCACTGCTCTGGGAAGGCGGCCAAACCCTGCTTCACTGCAGAGCAAGACCAGAGCATGAGAGAAAAGAACCTGCCTGGCTTTTCTCTGACCAAACTCGCTTTGAAAGATCATTTAACATCACAGCATGACAGCCAGATTGTGCTGACAATACCTTAATGGCCTCGATTGCATACTCCACTTGGAACAGCCTCCCTTCCGGAGAGAAAGTGTTCACACCCCTGCAAGACCAACAGCAGACATGGTGTGAAAGGCAGAAAGCTGAAGCCCTGCTGACAGAGGACAGGTGACACGGGGGGGCTTTGCACTCCTCACCCCAGCAGTGCTGGACTGGGGATGCTTATCAAGCAGAACAGCAGACACCAGTGAGCTGGAGGGAAGGTTGTTCTCATCCCACTTTGCACTGAGGACACTGGAAACAGAGCCCAAGCAGCAAGGCCTCGGGCACCGCGAGGCAAAGCCCTCCCTGGCAGATGTTCCACAGCCCCCCCCAAGGTCCCCAGGCCCCTTCCCAATGCCAAAAAACACTGCTGAGACCGAGGGCTCCATCTCCACACAGAAACCCGCAATGGGTTTTACGCAGCCTGCTGCCCCTGCACTGGGAAGGCTCTCACGGGGTCACAGAATGGTTGGGTTGGAAACGATCGTCCCCTATCTGCTGCTGCGGGCTGGATGTGCACCGCCAGCTCAGGGCGCCCAGGGCCCCATTCACGTCCTCGTGCACCTCCAGGGATGGGGCACCCACCGCTCCGGGCAGCGCAGCACCGCGTTAAGGCCGAGCAACGCTCTCCTTACGGCCTCGGGGCGCTACCGGGCTTCCAGCGGCGGCACGGAACCGAAAGCGCTTTGTAAGCTCCGTACACAGAACGGAATCAATCCAGAAACGAGGCCGAGGCAGCTCCGCACGTATCGTGCGCAGCTCCGCGGGGTGACGGGCGGCACCGGGACCGGGCCGCTGCCCGCACTGCCCGCCGCCGCGCCCCGCGGGACTGTGGGAGCAGGCCCGTGACTCAGCCGCAGGCCGCGAGCGGCGAGGAGGGAGCGGGAAGGGCCGACCGGGGGAGAAAGGGCACTCACCGGTCGTACTCGGAGCGCGTGAGGAACATGGCGGCGTCGGGGGGCGCGGGGGCGGTGCGGGGGAGGCGCGGCGGCGGCAGCGGAACCGGAGCCGCTCTGCCCTCGCCGGGTTCGCATCCACTTCCTGCCGACGGCTCGCAACTCGCACGCGCAGCCCCGCCCCTTACGTCACTTCCGCCCGCGCCGCGAGCCCATTGGTGAGAAGAGAGAGGAGCGCGGCCAATGAGAAGGCGAGGAGGGCGGGCTCGGAGGAGAGAGAATGGGGAGGAGCCAAAGCAGAGGGGCGGGGCGAGGGCTGAGCGGCAGCTGAGCGGGAGAGGGCGGGCACACGTGCATGGGGGCGTGGACAAACTATTGATGGGCGTGGCCAGATGAGAAGTGGGCGTGGTCAGATGCGAAGTGGGCGTGGCCATGCGATGCCGGCGCGCGGGGCAGCGGGCAGCGCCGTGGGGTGGGTGAGGGGCGCGGACCCCCGGTGGCTGCCGGTGCTCAGCGGGTGCCGCTCCGCTCCGAGCGCAGTGAGCCCCGCGTGGGCGTGGGACCCCCAGTGTGGGGTGGCCGCCCTTCCTCCGTTCTTCCGCTTCCCCCCCCGCGCGTCGCTTCCTGCCCGGTACGCGGCCGCACGCGGTCGTTGGGGATCCCCCGGTACCGTGCGGGGCGGGGCGCGGGGGGATGCACCGCGTTCCCGGGGTGGGGGGTCCGGGAACGGCCCCGGGCGGCGTCGGTGCTGCTTCGAGGGTCCCGGTTTGGGGGACGGGGATGGATGGAGGGACGGACGGAGGGAGCGGTGGGTGCCGGGGGCGGGGTTCACCCCACTACTGGAGCGGGGGGTGCGGTGGGGGCGGTCCGGGGCCGCCCCGTGCACGGTGGTCGCGGGGGGGGGGGGGCGGGGGCGGTCCGGGCTGTGCCCGGGGCGGGGCGGCTGTGCCCGCCCGGGGGCGCTGGGGCTGCGGGTGGCGGAGCGGGGGCGGCTCTGAGAGCGGTGCTGCGGCGGCGGAGGGCGGAGGAGGAGGAAGAGGTGGCAGCCCCCGACGGCCCCGACGGCCGCGGCCATGGCAGAGTCCGGAGCCCCCTCGGGCGGCGACAAAACGCCCCGGCTCCAGGTAGGGCCCCGCTGCCATCCGTGCCCGGCGCTGCTCCCCGGTGCCCCCCTTCCTCCGCAGCCCGGTGCTCCCGCGGTGCCCCCGTTCACGCCGATCTCTCCGTTCCGCAGGACCGGGTCCTGGCCGGGATGCGCTGGGGCCGCCTCCAGGAGCCGCTGGGCTTCGTCAAGGTGCTGGAATGGGTGAGTGCCCCCCACAACCCCCCACAGCACCCTCAGCTTTTCGCCTCCCTCCCCCTCCATTTTTGGAGTACCCTGTCATTGCCCCAATGCCCACAGAGGGACCTCGGAGCCCCCCTGGCCGCACGCACCCCTCCCAGCTGAGGGTGGGGGGGATCCCACAGAGGTCTCGTGAGGGGCTCCAGGTGTGGGGGCCGCTTGAGCAATTCACGCTGCCTCCCCGGTGACCTTGAGCAGGTGGCAGCACTGTGCTGTGCCCAGGGGGACGGTGACAGTGGGACCTGAGGGGTGGGGGGGTGAGGAGGGGGGTACATCGGTGAGTGGGGGGCAGTGGAGGGTGGCAAACTCAGGAGGGAACGTATGGGGCATGGAGGGGCAATGCACGGCCCCCTCCCTGTCCCCCCGTGCTATGAATGGCGCCAGGATTGGGTTTCAGGGCTGAGGGGAGGGCGGCATTTCAGCGGCACAGGTCTGGCACAGGGAAACTGAGGCACGAGTGGGGATCAGAGGGAGGGGGGGGGGGGGGGAGGTCGGTGGCATTGGGGATCTTCTGCCTGGAGGAGTGGGGCCAAGGAGGGTCAGCCCCCACTGTGGCCCCCAGCCCCGATCTGTGTGGGATCAGGCCCTGAGTGCAGCCCGAAACGGGAAGCGAGAGGAGAACCCACGGAGAGCAAACGGGAGCCAGGCTGCAGCGTGACACGTGGGGACGTCCCACACCGGGGACAGGGACAGCTGTCAACACTCGAGGTTCCACGAGGGAACACCCACAGGAGCCCATCCCCGTGGCACTGAGCCTGGCTGGGAGGATTGGGAGGATTCCCCATAGCCCAGCAGCACTCGGGGCAGTGCCACCACTGCTGGGGCACGGGGACAAACCGCGGCGTCCCTCAGTGCGGACACTGCAGCACTTGGGACTGGGCCTAAAATTAGAGGGGATGAGCTGGGTTTCCCCCCCCCCCGGTGCCCCACGGCCCCGTTTTCACTGCCGGTGCACAGAGCTGGCGCACAGGGCTGACAGCTGCAGGGTGGCATCGCGCCCTGCATGGCCGTGACTCAGCGCCGGGGGGGGGGGGGGGGGGGGAGTGGGGGGGAAGATGTGGGGCCGCGGGGTCTCTGAGCAGCCCCCGACCTCTGCACTGCCATCCTGCAGCTCTTTGCCATCTTTGCTTTCGGGGCGTGCGGTTCTTTCAGCGGTGAGAGCGGGGCCACGGTGAAGTGCAGCGGTGAAACCAAAGAGATGAGCGCCATTTCCGTGCAGTTCGGGTACCCGTTCAGGTGAGGGCTGGCCGAAATGGGATCCCCTGCACAGCCTGCGATTCCAGCGTGGCCACGTAGGGACCCGGATGGGGCTGGGTGGGATGTGAGGTTAAAGCCCGTGCTCTGTGCCGGCATCCCGAACGAGGTGTGAGGATGGGATGGGGACGCTGTGGGTTTGGTGCACTGGGGGCGGATGTGGGGCTTTCTCCACTCTGTGGGTGGTTTGCAGCACTTGCTGCATCCCGCAGGGGATTTGGGCACAGCCGTGGGTCCCGGCTCCGTGCCCCCCTTCCCCCAAGGACCCCTTTTGCCCCATCCCCTCCCCTCCGGGTGCCACAGCCACCCCCCGGCCCCGTTCCCCCCAGGTTGTACCAGATCCCCTTCGAGATGCCGGAATGCGACGGCGAGTCGGAGCCTCGCTTGCTGCACCTGGTGGGCGACTTCTCCGCTCCCGCCGAGTTCTTCGTGACCCTGGGGGTCTTCTCCTTCCTCTACACCATGGCAGCTCTGGTGCTTTACCTGCGCTTTCATTCCCTTTACGCCGACAACAAGAAGCTCCCGTTCACGGTAAGGGCCGGGCGGCGGGCGCGAATCCCACCCTGCAAGCGCGGCGCTGAGCCCGGCCCCACGGCATCCACAGGACTTCTGCGTCACCGTCTGCTTCGCCTTCTTCTGGCTGGTGGCGGCGGCGGCGTGGGGCAAAGGGCTGAGCGACGTCAAGGCGGCCACGAGGCCCTCCAGCCTCATCGCAGCCATGAGTGTGTGCCAGGGCCAGGACGTGGTGTGCAACGCCGGCGCCACGCCGGCCATGGGGCTGGCCAACATCTCTGTGGTGAGCAGGGGGGGGGCGCACACACCTGGGGGTGCAAACACACACAGACACACAGACACACAGACACACAGACACAGACACACAGACACACACAGACACACAGACACACAGACACAGACACACAGACACACACAGACACACAGACACACAGACACAGACATACAGACACACAGACACACACAGACACACAGACACACACAGACACACAGACATACAGACACACAGACACACAGACACACAGACACACAGACACACAGACACACAGACACACACAGACACACACACAGACACACAGACACACAGACACACAGACACACAGACACACACAGACACACAGACACACAGACACACAGACACACAGACACACACACAGACACACAGACACACAGACACACAGACACACAGACAGACACACAGACACACGACACAGACACACAGACACACACACACACAGACAGACACACAGACACACACACAGACACACAGACACACAGACAGACACACAGACACACACACAGACACACAGACACACACACACACAGACACACAGACACACACACAGACACACAGACACACAGACACACACACAGACACACAGACACACACACACACAGACACACAGACACACACACAGACACACAGACACACAGACACACACACAGACACACAGACACACACACACACACAGACACACAGACACACACACAGACACACAGACACACAGACACACACACAGACACACAGACACACAGACACACACACAGACACACAGACACACACACACACATAGACACACACAGACACACATGGGTGCCAACACACACAAGGATGCGGAGCTGAGCGCCCACCGCTGCGCCGTGCGCCCGCACACCCAAGGGTGGCACCACGAAGCACCGTGGGGAGGGGCTGTATGGAGGGGGGGGGGGGCTGTGCGGTGCCACAGCTCCTTTCTCCCCCCGCAGCTCTTCGGCTTCATCAATTTCCTGCTGTGGGCCGGGAACTGCTGGTTCGTGTTCAAGGAGACGACGTGGCACACGAAGGCTGAGCCCCGCGGGGACAGCGCGGCCGAGCAGGGCGCCATCGACAAGCAGTAGCCCCTGGGGGGGGGGGGCACCCACCTGCACCCACCTGCACCCACCTGCACCCACCCCCCCATCCCCGGGGGCCTCGCGCCGGCCGCAGCCTGGGGGTGGAGGGGGGGTTGTTGTACCGAGGGGTCCCTGCTGTGTGCGGAGGTGGATAAAGGTCCTGGGAAGCCTGGGGTGTCCTGTGTGTGTGGGGGGGGAGTCATGGGGGGGGGGGGGGTCCTGTGGGGCCCTATGGGGGTCGTGTGTCCTATGGTGGGGGTTTGTGGCTCTGGGTGCCCTGTGCTGCATGGGGGGGTATTGATATTGGGTGGCCTTCCCATATGGGGCGGTTTATGGCACTGGTTGTTCTACCTAAGCCATATAGGGGTGAATATGGCCATGGGCGCCCTGCCCCATATAGGGGTGAATATGGCCATGGGCGCCCTGCCCCATATAGGGGTGAATATGGCCATGGATGCCCTGCCCCATATAGGGGTGAATATGGCCATGGGCGCCCTGCCCCATATAGGGGTGAATATGGCCATGGGCGCCCTGCCCCATATAGGGGTGAGTGTGGCCATGGATGCCCTGCCCCATATAGGGGTGAATATGGCCATGGGCGCCCTGCCCCATATAGGGGTGAATATGGCCATGGATGCCCTGCCCCATATAGGGGTGAATATGGCCATGGGCGCCCTGCCCCACACAGCGCTGTGGGTGGCACCGGCTGTGTCTCTGTACGCCCTGAGCTGCGCCGCCCCACACAGCGCTGTCCGCCCCACATCGGGGCGCAGCACCGCGTATCTCGGTACGTCGCCGTGGGGCTGAGGTCTCCCCAGGCTGCCCCGCACCCCGCCCCGCACGCACGGCCGCTCGGAGCCCCGGGGCGGGGACTGCGCCGCCCGTGGGGCCGCGGGGGGGCGCGCGGCGCATGCGCGGGGGCGCGCGCGCGGGGCGGGGGCGGCGGCGGCGGCGGCGGAGGGGGGGGCGCGCGCTCCCGCGGCGGCGGCGGCGGCGATGGCGGCGCGTGGGCGCGCGGCGGCGATGGCGGCGGCGGAGCGGCGGCTGCCGAGCGTGGACGAGTTCGCGGGGCAGAGCTGGAGCGCATGGGTGGAGCGGGCCGGGCCGCCCGCAGAGCCGGGTGAGGGGGCGGCGGGCCGGGAGGGGGGAAGGAAGGGGGGGGGGGGTCGCTCCCGGGGTTGGGGGGGGGGTCACCGCCAAACGGGGCCGCGCCCGCAGCCCGCGCCGCCCCGCACCTCCCCGCCCCCGGGCACGGAGAGCGGCGGGCGCCCCGCGACGGGCGATGGGAGACGCGCAGCGCGTCCCGCAGCGGAACCGGGGTGCGGGCGGCGGTGCGGGTGGAGGTGTGCGGGGAGCGGCGATCCGTCCCGTCGGTGCCCCGTCTTGCGGTCGCCGGGAGCGGGGCGTGCGGTACGGCGCGGCCGGGGGGAGCGGGGACCCCGTGTGACGGAGCTGCGGGCGGCCGGTGTGACACGGCTGGACGGCGCCGGGCGCACGGAATGGCATCGCTGAGAGGCACCGCGAGCCCGGCGTGGCACGGCAGGGTGCAACTGGGCGCCCGGTATGGCGTGGATGGACGGCGCTGGGCACCCCGTATGGCATCGCTGCGAGAGGCTGAGTGCCCGGTATGGCACAGCTGTGCACAACTCGGTGCCCGGTGCGGCACGGCTGGACGGGACCGGGTGCCCGTTGTGGCACAACGAGACACAGCTTGGTGCCCGGTTGGATGGCACTGAGCCCCCAGTACGGCACAGCCAGGCAGGATCGAGCGCCCGCTGTGGCACGGCTGGACGGGGTGGCTGGGGACGCGGTGCCCAGCTGGCACAGCTGGTGAGGATGGGTGCTGCTGGCTCGGCTGGGGGCACGTGGTGACCCGGCCCCAGGATGGGCTGATCCCACATCCCTGGTCAGCCCCACGCATGGCACTGATGGTGGCTTCGGGCTCTCGACGCTCCCTGCACATCACAGCGCCCGCTCTGTGCCACCCGCTGTCCCCAGCTGTCACAGGGTGCAGCCGGGTGCCGCTCATGGCGCTCCCTGATTCGGGGGCTGAGCTCTGGATTCATCCTCGGGTCTGATTTGAACCTTTGTCATTGTGCTTTTAATTGCCCTGGGAGCAGCGGGCGGCGTGAGGCAGCAGGGCAAGCGGTGGCTGCAGAGAGACGAGGCAGAGCTGAGGCCGGCGCAGCTCAGGATACTGATGGTGGGATTCTGTCCCCAGCAGGGTTGGAGCTGGAGGAGAGCAGCAAGGGGAGCAAGAAACTGGACGCCATGACGCTGATCAAGGAAGGTAAGCTCCCCGTTTTGGGGAGAAAACCCCCCGTTTTGGGGCTGCACGCAGCCCCGGTGCCTGACCCACCTCCACCCCACAGACATGTCCATCTTCGGCCACTGCCCGGCGCACGACGAGTTCTACCTCGTGGTGTGCAACCACTGCAGCCAGGTGGTGAAGCCTCAGGCCTTCCAGAAGCACTGCGGTGAGCTGGGGGGTGATGGGGGGGAGGGTGGGAGGGAGGGGGGGGGACGGTGAACCTGGCGGGGGGCTGATGGAGGGCCGTTCCCTGCGCAGAACGGCGTCACGGCCCGCTCAGCAAGCTGTACGCCAAGTGCCACGCCGTCAACGGGCAGCCGGCGGGCAAAGCGCTGCGGGACAAAGGACAGGGAGCGCGCAGCAGGGCTCAGCCGCTGCCAGAGAAAGCACAGAAGGACAACAACCTCTGGTGAGCAGAGCTGGGGGTCGCCGTGCCCCCCCTTCCCCCCCCCCCAGGTGCCGCTCGCCCCCCCCCCCTCTGACCGCCCCGTTTCTCTCCAGCTTGTTCATGCCGGTGGTGAACCTGGAGAAGATCCCCAGCCTCCCCAAGCCGGAGGGGCTCAAAGCGGCCCCCAAAACCCCCCCCAAAGCGTCCGCTGCACCACCTGCCTCCAGCCCCACTGAGCCCCCGGGGAGGCCCTCCTCCACGCCGCCTCCGCCGCCCAAAGAGCCCCCAGGGGCCGGGGGGGACCCACCACCACCAACTGCCAGCCCTGTGCTCAAAGCGGGGGAGAAGGAGCCGGGGGTCTGCAGGCCACCCCCCAGGGCCCACAAGAAGCTGACGCGTGAGTGCTGGGGTTCTGCAGGCTGGGGGGGGGGTGTTGCTTTTGGGGGAGGTAATGGGACGGGTAACTGTGTCCCTCCGTGCCCAAAGGTGGGCTGTGATCCCAGTGGCACAGCTTGGGGATAAGGGGAGCCCTACTGTGGGGTGGGGGGGGCTGGGGTTCATCAGGGTCTGCGGTCCTTGAGGGTCTGTGGGTGGATACCATCCATGGGGGGCTGCCCTGGCTCCATACGCCGGTGGTGTGAATGCTGCTGTGGGGCTGGTGGGGGTCACAGCTTTGTTCCCCCCCCCAACATCCCACTGCTTCGTGTGCCTGCAGGGAAGGAGTGCGACCTGAACCGGCAGTGCGGGGTGCTGAACCCCGACACCAAGAAGGTTTGCACCCGCCTGCTCACCTGCAAGGTAGCACCGTGCATCCGTCCTGCGGGGCCCCGGGAGCAGCATGGCGATGGGGTTTTGCCCCTCTGCTAGCGGGTGTTGGGGAGGGGAGGGGGGGTCTCCCGCCTTAAAGGGGACGCATGGGGAGGGGCCTCATGGCGTGACCCCCCCCCCCTCGCCCTACAGATCCACTCGGTGCACCAGCGGCGCGAGGTGCAGGGCCGCGCCAAGGACTTTGATGTGCTGGTGGCCGAGCTGAAGGCCAGCTCCCGCCGCGAAGCCCCAAAGGAGAAAAGCCCCCCCAGGAAGGAGCCCCCCGGCTCCGAACCGCCCGCCCCCCCCCGCGCTGCCGCAGCCCCCCGCCGCCCCTCCCGGCTCATCGCCCTGCCGCCCCAGACCCCCCCACGTCCACTGCCCGCCCCCCAGGTGAGCTCCTGCCGTCCCCCCCCCCCCTCCTTCCAAGCTGTGTCCCCCCATCTCTCACCACCCGCCTCCCGCACAGGGCTCGGCTTTCCTCCGACAGCGACCCCGAGGACGGGGACGGGGGGCTCTTCCCCTTCCCCCTGCCCAAGGAGGGGGGCAGTCGGGGGTCCAGCGAGGACAGCGAGGAGGAGGGGGCTGCTGAGGACGCCCACCGCCCCGACTGCCACTACGCCGCCCGCCCACCGCGGCCTCAAGCGGTGAGTTGGGCTGGGTGCCCCCCATGGATGGGGGGGGGGTCACCCGGTCTGAACCCCCCTCCCCCCGCCATCCCTCGTAGTTCTGCACCTTCGGGAGCCGCTTGGTCAGCCCTGGCTGCTACGTCTTTAACCGGAGGCTCGACCGCTTCTGCTCGGCGCTGAGCTCCATGCTGGAGCGGCACCTCAGCTCACACATGTGGAGGTAATGGGGGGGCCGGGGGGGCTGCAGAGTTCCCCTGGTGTGCTGCTGCACGGTGGGACACAGAGCTGTGGGTTGGTGCTGTGGGGAGTTGGGGGGGGTCCCGTTTGGGAAGAGAGCAGAGATGTGGGGGGGGTCACATTGGGCAAGGGAACAGATATTGGGGGGGGGTCCTATATGTGAAAGGGGCGGCGAGAGGGAGCCAGGTGATTGGGGGACCGCATTGGGAAGGGAGCAGAGATGTGGGGGGCTCCTGTTGGGCTGTGAAACAGCAATGGGGGGGGGGTCCCATGTGGGACAGCAGTGATGTCAGAGGGATCCCATCAATGGAGAGGACGGAGATTTGGGGCTGGGGTTCCACGCAGGAAAGGCACAGAGGGGGGATGAATCGGGGGGTTCCCTCCGTTGAAGCTCAGCCCTTTGATGCTCCCCATCTCACCGCCTCCCCTCCCCCCCCCACAGGAAGATCCCTCCGGCCGTCGACCCGCAGCTCCCCGCCGCCCCGGCCCCCCCCAGCCCCGCCGGCCCCGCCGCTCCGACCCCCCCAGCCCACTCTCGGACCCCCCCGACGCCCACCGGTCCCCGGGACGGCCGCGTCCCCGCCGGCATCAATTACACGGTGGGATCCCCGCACGCGGCCGCCGCCTGCAGCCAACCGGAGTGCGGGGGGGGCGGCAGCCAATCCATCACCTCCCCGCTGCCGGCCAACATCCCCTCGCCCTCCTTCAGCAAGTTGCCTTCCACCAAGGCCAGCAAATCCTCCCGTGCCAAGGAGGCGGCCGGCGGGACGGAACCGGATTCCGTCGCCCGTAAACGCAAACAGCCCCTGGGGGCGGCCGCCAGCCCCCCCTACAAACGGACCTGCGCCGGGGACGGGGCGAAAAGCAAAAACCCCGCCTGCCAGGCGTCGGCGCCCCCCGGCAAGACGAAAAACGCCGCGGTGGCGGCGCTCAACGGCTCGGTGTGCGCGGGCGGCAGGCTGAAACGAGCGCTCCCCCCGGACTGCCGCCCCCCCCTCAGCGCCGCTCCGGAACCGCGGGGCTCTCCGTTACACGGAGCCGGGGTCCCCCCGCCGCCTCCCCGCTGCATTTCGGAGGATGAGGTGAAGAAGCGCAAGAACTCGGCCACGTATTGCCGGCCCTCCAAGCCCAAACACGCCGCTCCCCCGCCCGCCCCCCCGCCGGCCCCCAGCCCCGCGCCCCCCGACCTGGGCTGCTCCGTCCGTAGGAAGAAACCGGGGAGCGCCCTGAGCTTCGAGGAGAAGCGGAACGTCCTGAAGGTAAGGGGCGGGGGGGGCGGGGGGGTCGCTGGGGGGGGGGGGTTATGGGCGCACCTCCAGCTGTGGGTGTTGGGGGTTCATCCACGTGTGTGGGAGCTGAGTGGGGAAATGGGGAGGGGGGGGTTGGACACCGCAGCACGGCAGAGCGCCCTGAACGATGGGGCAGAAGAGAGGGGAGGGGGGCAGCGTGAGGACCCTCCGGGGTCGCCCACATCAGCGCCGGGTCGGGGAACCCGCGGTGTTTTATTGAACCACCCGCATCCCAACCTGAGGACAGCGTTTGGGGCACCGAGGAGACCCTCCGGGGCCGCCCCGTCCCTGGGGGGGGGTGGGGGGCACAGCGCGGGGCTGAGCTCACCCAGCTGCTGACCACCTTCCCCCCCCCCCCCCCTCCATCCATCCCGCAGTCCAAAGCCCATTAACGGAGGCTTCGGGGGCTTCCACCGCCGCCCGGGGTCGCTGCGCATCACGGAGCCCCGAACCGCCGCCGGGAAGCGCCGAGGGGACAAAAAAAAAAAGCGAGAAAAAGGAGAAGCAAAGGGAAAAAAGAAAAAACCCAGAAAAACCCACAAGAACACAAAAAACCCACCAACAAAACGTAACCTCCAGAAAAATACCTCAAGACTCTGATCCTGATCCGTTGCTGCTAAAACAACCCCCGGGGAGGGGGCGGCCGGGGGGGGTCCCCGTGCAGGACTGAACCGCCGGCACCGCGGGTATTTATAAGGATTCCTATCGCTGTTTCGGTTCGGTTTGGGTTTTTTTTTGTTTGTTTGGTTGTTTTTTAAGAAAAGAGAAAAGGAGAAATTGGTGTCGTGTGGGTGAGGGGGGTGGGGGTGGGGAGCTGCGGGGGTCCGTGCGGTGTTTGGGACCCCGTGGGGGATTTGGAGCCCAATGGGGGATCGCTTGGTCCTGGTCCTGGTTCACCGAGGGGCTGCGTGTCCTCAAAAGCCCCCCCGGGTCCGGCAGCGTGAAGCCCCGCCTCCCCTCGTGTTCCGACCCCCCCCCCGGGGTCAGAGGGGTGCGGGGGTCTCCGGTGCGTTGTGAGACACGAGTGGGGAACGCACGTTTCTTTATTGTCACCGATGCAGCAGCGCGGCGCTGGCTGAAGCTGAGGACGCAGACATGGGGTTGGAGGGGGGGGGGGGGCTGTGGGGGGGTCAGGTGTGGGGTGGGGGCATTTCCCACCCTGGGATCCCTGCGTAGGGGGCGGCTGCGCTCCCCCCAGGACGGCGCCAAGGACGGGGGGCTCAGCTGTGCTGTGGCTCAGAGCAAAGGGGCTGTGCCCCATTTCCTCCCCCCCCCCCGGCGTGGGCAGCAGCTGTGGCCTCGGGGGGGTCATGCTTCCCGGGGGGGGGGGGGGGAGTCATGCGTCACGATCAACATGCGGGAGGCAGCGCTGTGCGGGGGGGCATCCACGCAGCAGGGACCCCCGTGTGCTTGGATGCTGTCACCGGTGGGGGTCCCACGGCACCCGGACCCCCAGGGAGGGGGGGGCTCCACGTTACAGCACCCCCACCGCGGTCCTCACATCCTTTGTGCTCTGCACAGCCGGCGGGGGGGATTCCACACCGTGCCCCCCACCCCCCCCCGCTACACCACGATGGGGGTGTCGGAGAACACCGAGCTGACCGAGTCTGGGTCCGACACCTTCCTCTGCGCCCGGGGTCCCTCCCTCGGTGCCCCCCCCACCACCGCCGCCATCGGCGGGCTCCCCCCGGCTTTGTACCTCCCGTTCTGCCCCCCCGGGGCGGCGCGGTGCCCGGCAATGCGGGGCCTCGAGGGGGGCGGAGGCTCCCCGACGGCGTGGTTGGGGGTGGCGCTGAGCACGGAGGAGTTGAGGCTGTCGTCTCGGGGGGGGGCGGGCGGCTTTTCGGCGGCGGCGCGGCAGCAGCAGCGGCACGGGGTGAGGTACAGATAGATGAGCACCAGCACCACGCTGAGGATGCAGCCCACCAGCGTGGTGTAGGCGGTGTTGAGGCCGTCGTGGGGGCCGTGCAGGGTGAAGTTGTGCACCAGCAGCTCCACGTAGAGCGTCTCGTTAAAAGCCGGACCCGACACCCGACACGCGTACGTCCCGCCGTCCTCCGGCCTCAGCGCCCGCAGCTGCAGGCTGCCGTTGGCCAGCACGGCCGCGCTGCCGTTGCCGCCCTCCTCCGTCACTCTGTCCCCCCCCGGTGTCACCCAGTGGCGGCCGTGCGCCGCCCGCAGGCGGCTGTCGCAGCCCAGCGTGACGCTGTCCCCCAGGTACGCCTCCAGCACGGCTTCTTTCGCCTCGCTGCAGTTGAGCAGCTCTCGGGATCCCAGTTCCAGAATGGCCACCGGCGCTCGGTTCGGCGCCGCCGGCAGCTGGCATCGCAGCTCCTCCTGGAAGTCCATCACGGCGCTCAGCCGGCGGTGGCGCCCGCGGGCCAGCAGCTGGAAGAGCGGGCAGTCGCAGCCCAGCGGGTTGCCGTGCAGGTAGAGGCGGTCGCGCAGCCACGCGGGCAACGCCTGCAGCTCGGCGGCCGGCAGCGAACGCAGGCGGTTGGAGGAGAGGTCGAGCAGGGAGAGCTGAGCCGGGCGGCTGCCGTCGCGGAGCAGCTCCAGAGGGAAGCGGGCGATGTGGTTCCGGCCCAGGTAGAGCTTGCGGAGGCGGCTCAGGTTGTCGAAGGCGGAGCGGTCGACGGCGGAGATCTCGTTGTTGTAGAGCAGCAGCACCTCCAGCTCGGGGAGGTCGCTGAAGAGGTTCTCCTCCAGCGTGCGCAGGCGGTTGGAGGACAGGTCCAGGTGGCGGAGGTGAGGGACGTGGGTGAAAGCCTCGGTGGAGACGAAGGCCAAGCCGTTGTGCGCCAGCAGCAGCGCGTGCAGGTGGGCCAGGCGGCCCGGCGCCCAGTCGGCACGCAGGCGGCTGATGTTGTTGTGGCTGAGGTCCAGCACGGCGGCGAAGCGCGGCAGCGGGGCGGGCACGGAGCTCAGGGCGGCCTGGGAGCAGCTGAGGATGTTGGAGGCGCAGACGCAGCGCGTGGGGCAGCTCCCGGCCACCGGCACCGCCAGCATCGCCAGCATCGCCAGCATCACCGGCATCACCAGCATCACCGGCATCACCGGCACCGCCATGGCACCGAGCGTGGGGGGGGATGGGGGTGGGCAGTGGGGTCACGGCGTGCGGCAGTGCAGCATGGCACGGGGTCGCAGCTTTGGTCACCCGATGTCACAGCACTGAAAGAGCCTCAGTCACCTCAGTGTCACTGCTTGGAGGTGTCCTGGTCGGCCGGTGTCACTGCCTGGGACGGCTGTGGTCAAGCACTGCCACAGCAGGGCTGCCCCTGGTCAAGCAGTCGCAGCACAGTGTGGCTTTGGTCACCCACTGTCACTGCCTGGGGTGGCTTTGGTCACCCGGTGTCACAACATGGAGGTGTCCTGCTCACCCACTGTCACTGCCTGGAATGGCTGTGGTCAATCAGTGTCACAGCAGGGCTGCCCCTGGTCAAGCAGTCGCAGCACAGAGCGGCTTTGGTCACCCAATGCCACTGGGGTGGCTTTGATAGCCCAGTGTCACAGCATCGGATGACCTTGGTCACCCAGTGTCACTGCCTGGGGTGGCCTTGGTCACACAGTGTCACAGCGGGGCTGTCCCAGCTCAAGCAGGGGTAGCACGGAGCAGCTTTGGTCACCCAGTGTCACCGCGGTGGCTTTGATAACCCAGTGTCACAGCACCGGATGGCCCTGCTCACCCAGTGTCACAGCACGGAGGCGTCCTGCTCACGCACCGTCACCGCGCCGGGTGGCCGCGGTCCATCAGTGTCACAGCAGTGCTGCCCCCGCCGTCGCAGCCCGGCCGGCTCCCTTCACCCCGCGGTCGGTTGGCGCTGCGCTCGCCGCCGTCACCACGTGGATGTCCCCGTTATCACCGCGCGGTGCGGCCGTGCCGGTGCCGTTACACAGCGGGCCGGTTCCGTTCCTCCCCTCCGCCGCTCCGCGCCCGGTACCTCTGCACCACGTGACCCAGCCCGGCCCCGCCCCCAGCGGAGGATGCTTCCCCCCCCCCCGCCCCCCCACCCCTCCGGGTATTACCGGAGCCCGCGGCCGGACCGAGGCGAAACGAACCGAGAGGAGCCGAACCGCGCCGGAATGAGCCGGGCCGAGCCGAGCCGAGCCGGACCGAACCGCGCCGTAATGAGCCGAGCCGGGCCGGGCCGGGCCGAGCCCCGCACCGCGCTGCAGCGCCCGCGCCCCGGGACGGCGCTCAGGGGGCGGACCCGGCGCGGCGACCCCCGCGCACGGCGCGTTCCCATTGGCTGCCGCCTCGCAGCCCGCAGCCAATCGCGGAGGCTCCCGCTTAACCCCTCGGAGCCCGGCTCGGCCCCGTCGCCTCCATCCCACCCGCAGCCCCAGCCGCACCCCGATCTCCATCCCTGCCCCATTTCCCCCCCATTTCCATCCCCGTCTCCATATTCATCCCACCCCCATCCCCGTTCGGTCCCTGTCTCCTCTTCTGTCCCTATCCCGTCTCAGTCTCTATCCCCATTCCCACCTCCATCCCATCCCACCCCATCCCATCCCATCCCTATATTCATCCCATCTCCATCTCCATCCCTCTTCCAGTTCCTGTCCCTCTAATTTCGGACCTGAAATTAATAAATAAAAATAACGCCACCCCTCTCTCCATTTCTGTCCCCATCCCATCTCTGTCCCTGTCCCCATTTGTAGCCCTATCCCAACACCACCTCCATCCCTGCCCCCATCTTCACCCCCATCCCAATCCCTGTCCCTATTTCCATCCCCATCTCTACATTTATCCCCATCCCACCCCTCCAAACCCACACCACCTATGCTGAACCACCACCCCCAGCCACGCTCCCCCCCCCCACACCACCCCCCATCCCACAGAGACACAGCAGCCCCCATCCCACCCCCTGCCCTGTGCCACCCCATACTTGGGGTCACCCTGCCTGGGGTCCCACCGAGGGGCACCCCTGGGTGCTGCTGTAGGGGATGGGGGGGGGGAAAGGGGGGGGGCGGAGGGGGGGGGGGGAGAGCCGCAGCCCCCGTGACGCGCAGTGCTGGCTCTGCTTCCCGGCTGTATTTTTAGATGCAAACATTTGTGTCACATTATTATTTTATTTATTTATTTTTTTCTTTGGGTCCAAAATTAGAGGGAAAGGAGCTGGAACAAACAGCGCCGTGATGATGCAGCTCTTTATTTGCTTGAGGGGGGGGGGGGGGGGGGGGGCTGCAATCAAAGGGGAGCCCTGCAGTGCAGAGCGAGGTGTCCTCAGGCCCCTGCCCCCCCCTTCTGCTGTTATCAACACAGACCCCCCCCCACCCCACCGCCCCTCATCCCGAGCTGGGGGGGGAATTCTGTCTGTCCTTTGATCGTCCTCAATTTCTCTGCTGTAATCCGGGCTTTAATCCCTGCCCTGCATCCCCCCCCCTCCCTCCCCCCCCGAGTGCTCAGCAGTGGGGGTTTGGGGGGGGGGGGGGGGCAATGCTGGGTTCAAGTGGTTCATTGGGGGGGGGGGGGGGGGGGCTACGAGCCCATCCCCACTCCGTGCCCCACAGCTCCCGTATCCCCCCCACCATAAACCCCATCCTCACGGCAACATCCCCATCCACACAGCGATCCCCCGTCCTCATAACAGCACACCAAGGCCCACAGTGACCCCCCCCCACCCCCACAGTGCCCCCCATCCCCCCGCTGACTCTTCATTCTCACAGAGACGCTTCCACCCCCACCTCGTGCCCACAATGCCCCCCCCATCCCCACCGAGACCCCCCCCAGCCTTACTGGGGGGAGCTGGGAGAAGCAAAGCACGGGGATGCTGAGAGCTGCGAGCAGCCTGCATCCCTCCCCCGATCGCATCCCACCCCCCATCCCTTGGGGCCGTTGGACATAGCCACTCCTCCCCCCCCCCCTCCCCTCCCGGGCCCGGTTCCCCGTTCCGTGGCGGCCCATTTTTGGGGCCGGGGGCTCCCGGGGCGGTGCGGTGCGGGCGGGAGGCGTTTAGGACCCAGCAGCCGGGCGGTGCGGGAGCATCTCTCGCCGCAGCGGCTCCACAGCACCGGCCCCGGCCCCGAGCATCCCCGCCCGGCCCCGCTTCGGGCCCATGGAGCCCCCCCCGGTAGGTAACGGCAGAGCGACGCCAGGGGTGCGCGCGGTGCGGGGCGGGGGGGTCCCCGATGTGCGGTAGTGCAGGGAGGGGGCACCTCCTGCACCCTGATCCATGGCTGTGCTGGGGGATCCCCCCACACCCAGCAGAAGGGGAGACCCCCAGGGTGGGGACGGGAGGGTGGGGGGCTCCGGAAGGCCCCCCCCGGTCCCTGCTCACCCCGCGGTGCCGTTGCAGCTTTTTGTGGGGGGTGGGAGGGGCAGAGATGCGGGGTTACGTGCGGCCCTCCAAGTGCAGAGGGGTCCCCACCGTGGTCCTGGTGCTGCCCCACGTGGTCCCTGGGGTCTGGGTAAAGATGCAGCGTTTGGGGATGAAACCACGGAGTTTGGGGCTTTTAGCCCCCATTTTTCAAGGCAGAAGGGTTTTCCTTGGAGGAAAAAAAAAGGGAACTGGGGGGGGGGGGAGGGGGTTTAATGCAGGGTGTCACAAGTGTGCTGGGGACAAGGGGGGGGGTTGCACCTGGGAGCCACCGGGGCGGAGCTGTGACCCCACCTGGGGTCTTATGGGGCCCATTTGCCCGAGTGTCCCCTCTGTGCCCCCCGCTGACGGCTCCCCTTCCCCACAGCCCCACAGCTCCGCCCGGTGGAGAGGAGCAGGGAGATGAGCGGTGCTGGGGGGCACCCCTGGGTGCGCTGAGCACCTCAGGACCCACCCCGCAGCGAGGCGGCAGCAGCCATAGGGCCATCGGAGCACCCAACGATGCCCCACAGCCCTGCGCCGTCAGCCCCAAGGACGGGCGATGGGCCACAGCATGGAGGCCTCCCTGCCCGCCCTATGGGGCTGGAACGGCTCTAGGGCAGCGCGGGCGCTCCAGCCCTCTCCGGGCCCCATGCCCCCCAACGGCACAGCCGACAGCAAGCCCAAAGACGTGGCTTCCAAATCGGTGGGGCTCTTCTTCATGCTGCTCATCGACCTGACGGCCATCGTGGGCAACGCGGCCGTGATGACCGTCATCGTGAAGACGCCGGCGCTGCGCAAGTTCGTCTTCGTCTTCCATCTCTGCCTGGTGGATTTCCTGGCAGCCCTCACCCTGATGCCGCTGGAGATGCTGTCGGGTTCGGCCGTGTTTGACAGCCCCGTGCTGGGCGAGGCCATGTGCCGCGTCTACCTGTTCCTCAGCGTCTGCTTCATCAGCATGTGCATCCTGTCCATCTCCACCATCAACGTGGAGCGCTACTACTACGTCGTGCACCCCATGCGCTACGAGGTGCGGATGACGGTGGGCCTGGTGGTCTGCGTGCTGGTGGGCGTCTGGCTGAAGGCCGTGGCCACGTCGCTGGTCCCCGTGCTGGGCTGGTTGTCCCCCGACCGCCCTCCGCCCGCCGGCCGCGGCTGCTCCCTGCAATGGAGCCGCGGTCCGTACTGCAAGTTCTTCGTGGTCTTCTTCGCCACTTTCTACTTCCTCCTGCCCCTCCTCATCATCGTGGTGGTTTACTGCAGCATGTTCAAGGTGGCTCGGGTGGCCGCCATGCACCACGGCCCGCTGCCCACCTGGATGGAGACCCCGCGCCGGCGCTCCGAGTCGCTCAGCAGCCGTTCCACCATGGTGACGACCTCGGGTGCCCCCCGCACCACCCCGCAGAGGACGTTCGGTGGGGGCAAAGCGGCCGCCATCCTGCTGGCCGTGGGCGGCCAGTTTCTTTTCTGCTGGTTGCCCTACTTCTCCTTCCACCTCTACACGGCCCTCAGCGCCCAACCCTTGGCTGGGCCGGCGGCCGAGACCGTGGTCACCTGGCTGGGCTACTTCTGCTTTACCTCCAACCCTTTCTTCTACGGGTGCCTCAACCGGCAGATCCGCGGCGAGCTGGGCCGGCTCCTCACCTGCTTCTTCAAGCAGCCTCCCGAGGAGGACCTGCGTCTGCCCAGCCGCGAGGGCTCCATCGAGGAGAACTTCCTGCAGTTCCTGCAGAGCACCGGCTGCCCCGCCGAGCCCCCGCCGCCCCTCGACACCCCCAGCCCCAAGCGGGACCCGGCACCCATCGATTTCCGCATCCCGGGGCAGGTTGGGGAGGATGCGGGTGAGGGGACGGAGCGGAGCGGCGGGGATGGGCTGTGCGTGCCCAAAGCGGAGCTGTAGCGTTGTCCTCGTGGCTCCAGGTGCAAACACGGCTGTAAGGGCAGAACGGTGTGGGTGCATCGATGTGGGACGTGGGGGGGGGATGGAATGGGGTGAGGGGGCCTCGGGTGGGGTCCTCCACGTTGGGTTGGGGTCTCCATGTTGGGTTGGGGTTTTGAGCACCAGGGTTGGGGTCTGGGCCTCCACAGGGCCGGTTCGAACCCCCACCCATGGGTGCCCAGCTCTCCTGGGTCCTGGGGGCTTGGAGAGACCCACGTGGGGATGGGAGGGGTCTGTGGGGCTCGGTGTGGGGAAGGGGCTGCGGCTTTGGGATGGGCACAGAAGATCTCCATGGGAAAGGCGCCTCGCCCCCCGCCCTGCACGGCCCCGGGACCGCGAGGTGTTGGCACCCCCAACTCAGGGCTGGGGCCGGCTGGACCCCACAGTAATCTCAAGACTACAACTCCCATCACGCCCCGCCTCACCGAGGCGGAAGTGCCTCGAGCCCCTCTACATCCCGTCGGACACTGCTGCACCGAGGCGGAAGTGATGCTCTCCTCCCAGCTCCCATCATGCACCGCTGTACCGTGGCGGAAGCGGCTCGCTACTCCCACTCCCATCACGCCCCGCCGCATCGAGGCGGAAGCGACGCTCTCCTCCGGCTCCCATCACGCACAGCCGCACCGAGGCGGAAGTGCTGCTCCCAGCAGGCCGCGCCCGGGCGGCGCTTCCCGGCGTGCCTCGCGGGTAACGGTCGCGGCGGGCGGATATCCGGCGCCGCCTGCGGGAGCCGCCCCGGCTGAGGGAGAGGCGCGGTTCGGCTCCGCTCCGGCCCTTCTCTTCTCGCTCCGTTCCTGCCCGGTCCCGGCCCGGCGGCCGCCGCCCCGCCGCCGCCATGGGCTGCACGCTGAGCGCCGAGGACAAAGCGGCGGTGGAACGGAGCAAAATGATCGACCGCAACTTACGGGAGGACGGCGAGAAGGCGGCCAAGGAGGTGAAGCTGCTGCTGCTGGGTGAGGAGCGGCCGGGCCGGGCGAGCCGCGGGGAGATCCGGGACGGCGCCGCGGGGTCCGAGCGATTCGCGGCCCTTCGGAAGCCCGGGCAGCGCCGTGCGGCCGTGTGGCAGCGCTGCCGGGAGCGGCGTTTCGAGGCGCGGCCGTTCCCGGGCTGTGGGCCGCCGTTCCCGTTGCTGTGCTCGGCCCAGCCCCTCTGCCCCGCACGGCCGTTCCCGGTGCGCTGTTCGCCAGCGAAGCGACGGGCGCGGCGTGCCCCGTTCTGCTTAATGGCACTTCTGCTTTCCCAGCGCCGCTCCTCCCGTCAGCGCTGCGTTTCCCCGTTCGTCGCGTTCTCTCTGGGGGTTTTGCGGTGGTCGGCGCAGCGCTTTGTTCTCGGGGGCTTCGCTCCGTTTTGAACGACGCCCGCGTGTTGTCAGGGCAGAGCAGCACTGGTTTGGTGTCTGCAGGTCCGGTTGTTTCCTCGGGGCCGTTTGGGGGCTGTCCGACCTCGTCAGCGGGTGGTGGAGGTGAGGGAGCATCCAGGAGGCAGACGGAGATCCATGAACACTGAGCTCAGGTGGGACTTGGGAGGCACAGCGGCACGGCAGGGCGCTTTGGGCCCCGGGTGCCTTTGGAAACACCTCTGCTGTGCTTTTTGGGTTACTCAGAGGAGCTCTATGGAGTAATGGGACGCAGTGTGACACCGGAGCAGGGCTCTGTATTGCATTTCTCTTAAGGAGCAGCCGCTCGGATCAGGTTCACACCTGGCCCTTGTTCTCAAGCCAGCTTTCAATCCTTCCACTCAGTTTTATGGCCATCCAAGGCCTGGCGCTCCCCTAACATGTGAGCGAAGCGGGGCAGCTGACGGCTGCAGGAACAAACAGCCTTCAGTGCCACGGCACGGAGCGGATGGAAAAGTTCCTGAGCTTTTTCCATTGTTTGAGCAAGCGTTTTTCTTGGGGCCGCGGTGCTGAGATGCCCTGGATAAGCAGTGTCTCGTGTCATTAAGTTGTTGTTGGAGCCCATGCGGCGGTTTATGTAACCAGAGCAGTGCTCTCACTGTTGTGCTGATGCAGTGAAGTCGAGCAGAAATGTATTTCTTTAGAGCGAAACTCTGGGCACCACCCGGAGCTGCGGCCTCGTTTGGGCTGAGCAGAGCGATGGAGGTGAAGGGAGGAGGTGAGGGCAGTGCTTGCACGCAGTGCTGAGAGCTGTGTGTGTGGGCAGGGCTGCCTGGAGCCCATTCTGAGCCCTGAATGCAGCCTGGTTTCTCTGTTTGCCCCCGGGCCAACGCGGCTCTGCAGGCAGCAGCACGTCGGTGTCGGAAGCTGCGGGGTTTTCCAGCTGGGCTGAGCAGGGAACGGAGCACAGCTGCTCCCCTTGGTGCTGTCCTGCACCCTGTCCTCGCCGTGCAGCGCTGCCGTGGGGCTGTGTGCCGTGTGGAGGCACGTGGTGCAGCAGGTGGCCGGGTTTGGGCGCCGTTATCCCAAAAGGGACCAAAGAATGAAAACCCAGCAGTTCTGCTCACCTAGCTTTCATCTGCAGCACTGCCCGAGCAAACAGCAAACTCAGCTGCTGGCTCCCCCTGCTCCTCCTGAAGCCCCTCCCGCCCTTCGTGCCCCGCTCACCACGAGCTGCTCTGTGCTGTGCTGTCGCCTTTTGTTCCCTGCAGCCGATGCTGCCTCTGCTTTCGTGTTTTCTCAGTTGCTGTTTGCGTCGCCTTCCCTCCCCGCTGCGTCGGGGTCGGCTGCACAAACAGCAAAGCTGAGAGCTGGGGGTTGATGTCCTGCAGCTCCGCTTTGGGCTCCATAGGAACCCAAATGCTGCCATCTCCATCAGCATCCCCTGCTGTCAGCGGCGCTGCTCTGTGTAACGGGGCCGTGAGTCGCCTTTGAGCTTTGATTTGGTTCTGGCCGTGGTTTGTTGGGCTGTTAAAACAAAAACAAAGCAGGTGGCAAAAGTTGGAGGGGTTCACGTGGCTCGGTGGTGGCTGCCGAGTGCAGGCAGCCCCAGAGCGCGTGGGGCTGGGGAGGAGAAGGGAAGGAACGAAGCGAGCTGTGTGACCCACATGGTGGAGTCGTGGCTCAATGACCTCCGGTAGCGTTTTGTCGCCCAGCTGCTGGGGGCTCAGTGCGGGCTGGGGGGCGGAGGAGGGCTGTGGTTGTGCTGCTGGAACCACGGGGGTGGGGGGAAGGCGCACCAGTCTGCAGCTTCCCGTACAACAGCAGGGAGGTGCTGTGGGGAGAAGCGCGGGGTCTGCGCTCCTCCCAGGGCTGTGGGCTTTGTTTGGGTGAAGGGATCGGCGCCCTCCGGCTCCTGCACGCGGTGGGGGGGGGGGGGGGTTCAGCTTGCAGTGTTTCCTGTTCTGGTTCCCTGCTTGTGTTCCTCCAGCAGCCCTAAAGAGGGACGTGCTTTGTGTGCTGTTTGTCTCCTCCTTAAGGCGTGAAGGGGAGGAGGCGAACCGAAACGGAATGTCGCTGTTCTTAGAAGCTGAATGCTTTGCTTTCCAGACACGGGAGCGTTTTGTCACGATGGGCTCCAACGCAGCGACACCTCAAGCCTCAACTGAAGGCAGAGGGGTTTGAAATGGCACCGTGTGCTTGGAGCAGCATCCCTGCTGTCTGTGCTGTCACCGAGGGGGGGCCGTGTGTCCCCAAAGGAGCAGAGCCTTCTGCTGTGCTCTGTTTGGGGGCTGGAGGTGACCCAGCAGTGCACGCTCTGTGCCTGACGCCCTGCCAGGCCTCACATCGGCTCTCTGTGATCACGGAGAGCTGTCAAAACATCGCTCTGCTTGTTTGCTTTGCTCAGAGGAAACGCTCCTTCAGCATCAAAGTGACCTTGTGGGACCATGGGAAGCTTTGTGTCATTGAATGGGGCAGAAGGAATCCTGGTCAGCACCTGGGGGTGCGCTGGCAGAGCTGGCAGTGCCCTCAGTCAGTGCCAGGCAGCCGTGGCCCCTTCCCAGGGCTCAGTTTGGCCCAGCTCAGCGCTCAATGGGCCGTTTGTGCTGCCTGTTGCGTCGCTGCACAGACAGCAGGGCTGCGGCCCCGTGTCAGCTATGGTGAGAACCAGGGGTGAGCAAGTGAGGACGCATGGCTGCCCTTCTTTCCTGCTTGTCTGACGACCTTAAAGGAGCTCCTTCTCCCAGCAGAGCTCCCTGTGCTGGTCGTGGGGCAGCTCTGCGTCAGTGTGAGTGAGTCCTGGTCCTGAGTCACAGCCACCAAATGCGGCTCAGCATCGTCCTTCAGTGCCTGCAGCACAGCCAGCCCTGGGGCCAAGCCCCGCAGCTGCAAACCGTGTGCTCTGCAGTTCAGTGGGACGTCAGGAGCTCCTTGCTCTGCAGGTGGGAGCTCAGGAGCTGTGCTGAGGCCTGGCAGCCAGCCTGGGTGCTGGGAAACGGCAGAGGGTGGAAGCTGGGAAGCAGCACGGCGTGCCCTGCTGCTGTGGTGGGGCTGGGAGCTGCGGTTGCAGCAGGAAGCCGGGCTCCGCTCCTCCTACTGCTGACTCAAGCGGCTGAGTTGCTCTGCAGGCCTGGACAGGTTCTGTTCTCTGTGTTGTGCTGAGGCTCGGCTGGCTGCTGCCCTGGGAGTGGACGAGGGGCCTTGCCAACCCATTGTGGCACAATGTTCCTCCTGTGACACAGTAACACATTTCTGGGCTTTAGTATCTTAAGCTGCTCCACCTGGGTCGCTGAGAGCAGTTTGTTAGGCTCCGCTTCCCTCCCACACCACGGGGCTGCTCTGAATCGGGCTCTCTTTGAACGCCGAGAGCTGTGGCTGCACTCAGCTGCTCGCTGGGGGCTTTGCTTCCGTGTCTCTCTGTCAGAGAAACCTGCACCCCAGTTTTCTTAGAGGCATTCCCTGCTCTCCCTGCCCTGCTGCATGGCTGGCAGCGCGCTCTGGGAGCTCCTCACTCCTTTGGAGCAGGTGAACGCTCACAGTGGCAGCTTCTGTAAGTGAAACAGATGGCAGCCAGGCACCCCAACCCTGCAGCCCCCCCAGCTGGGAGCACAGGGGGGCAGCCTGCCTTCGTTCCTCCCTTCCCCTGCTTGCTAACTGCAGTTGGTTTGTGCCTTTCAGGTGCTGGCGAGTCTGGCAAAAGCACCATTGTGAAGCAGATGAAGTAAGTGAGGGTGCAGGCGTGGAGCCGCATTGCTGTGCATGGCTGCCCTTCTGCTTTGGCTGAGGAATGACAGCTTGGTTTTCTTCCAGGATTATTCACGAGGACGGCTACTCGGAGGAGGAATGCAAACAGTATAAAGTGGTTGTCTACAGCAATACTATCCAGTCCATCATTGCCATCATAAGAGCCATGGGAAGGCTAAAGATAGACTTTGGGGAAGTTGCCAGAGCAGTAAGTACTTCACTGATTTTCCCTTCATCCGTGCTCCAAACTGTGTTAACGAGTGCTGGGCATTGGCTGGGTTTGCCACAGGGTGCAGCGACGGGAGGCCTCTCATCACCTGCCCGATGTAAACCACAAAAGGTGCAGAACAGAGCAGAGCTGGGGCAGCTCCAGGTGGTCCTGCAGCTTGCGGGGCGCTGTGCCACATCCACACCCTGCTGTGTGAACCTGTGCAGATGTGAGGGCTCACATGAGAGCCTCACCCAGGCTCAGAGCAGAACTCCGCCGGCTCCCCAGCACCTGAAGAGCAGCGTGTGCTGACGGGGGGGCAGGCAGCAGGACCCAGCTGTGCGTGTTACCTGGGCATGCAGTCAGTTAGGAGATGGGCTCCCTCGTCTCTCAGCTGTTGCAGCAATCCTTAAACTCGTCACCAGCTCCGATTTCCTTTCTAACCCCCCCTCTCCCACAGGACGATGCCCGCCAGCTCTTCGTGCTGGCTGGAAGTGCAGAGGAGGGGGTGATGACGGCCGAGCTGGCTGGAGTGATCAAGAGGCTGTGGCGGGATGCTGGGGTGCAGGCCTGCTTCAGCAGATCCAGGGAGTACCAGCTGAACGACTCTGCCTCCTAGTAAGAGCCTTTGGGCCCCTCCATGGGCTGGGGGCAGTGGGGTGGGCAGGAACTGGGCTCTGCCTGCAGGCACGGCTTGGCTGGGAGCGATGTGAGGACCGGGCTGAGGAGGGCGGCTGCTGCTTCTGCACCGAAGCCGTTCCTGCCTCTGCTCTGCAGTTTGTAACCGAAGCTGCTTGCTGCTTTTTTGGCCAAAGCTGTGCGTTTGCTGCTTTGTAAACCCAGGAAGGGAGGGTGGCTGTGGGGTCGGTTGCGCTTCCTGGTGGCTGCCTGAATGCTCTGCCTGGTTTGGCCAAGTTTGAAGCCTCTGAGAAATTAGTTTGGAAATGCTTTGTGAAAACCTTCAGATGAGTCACAGCTCGGTTCCCCGCGGGCTCTGTCTGCACAGAGCACGTTTGCAGCTTGAAAATAAGCAAGAATACTTCTGAAACTGTAAGACCTCAGCAGAGGATGCTGAGTTTAGATGGAGGTAGGTGAGCTGACAGGAGGAGCGCTTCTGAGATCCCTGCAGCCTGCAGGGAAGAAGCTTCAGATTCAAAGGGAGAAAAAAGAGTTGGGAATGAGAGAGCGGATTTAATAGGAAGGTGTGGGGGAGAAGAGGAAAGCTGGAGGGCTCTGCATTGGGCTGACGTGGGGAAGGCGTGGGGCAGAGTCCTGCTGCTGTGTGCTGCTGCTGAGCCTTGAGCTGCAGAGGGCAGCAGGGCAGGCAGGAGGCCGTCAGACTGCTTCTCAAGGCCTGGCTGTTGTTAGAGGTGTGCTCCTGAACGCCGTGCCCCAGCCCTGGGGCTGTGCAGGGGCTGAGCCCAGCACCGACCCTCATCGTTCTGCTGTGTCAGGGTTTGCTTCTATCCGAAGCCTGCAGGAAGTTGCCTTCAATCAGCTCTGTTTTCTGAGGCAGTCACTAAGCAACGCAGCCGTTAGGAAATGCTGCAGAGTGCAGAGAGGAGCTGAGCTGCTCCTGCAGCTCCCTGCCTTGCTGAGGCTCAGAGCAGGCGATCAGCTGAGCTGCAGCCCTGAGTGCCTCATCTCTGGTGTTGCACCCTCAGCTCCTCGCAGGCATTGCAGCCCTTCTGCTGCTGCTGGTGTGGGTGCTGGCTTTTGGTGCTCCCAAGGCTGCTTCACCTCTGCTCCTCTGCAGGGCTGAGGTCTGAGGGCTGGAAGCCCTGCACCCTTTTGGTGTGGCATCGCGGATGGCTCAATCTTGCCTCCCCTCCCTGCTCTCAGGCTCTGCCTGCTGCTCTGCCCCAATGCCAGGGGCAGCCGCTCGTAACCAGAGCTTTGTAAGAACCTCTTGGAGCCATTTTTGCCTTTGAAAGTGCTCTTCTCAGCACTGAAAGGAAAAGTGGCCCAGCTGTTAGGAAAGCACCGCTCAGGGTGCTGTGGAACCACTCTGTGTGTGCATGGAACAGGGAGCTGAGCTGCACTCCTACCTGGAAGCAGCACTGCAGAACATTGCTGCTGCTGGCAGTGCTGCAGTGAGATGGATGGGGTGATGCCAATGGGGATGGAGCACGGATCCCAGCACCCACAGCTGCTGACCCAGGGCCTGGGAAGGCTGAGAGCAGCAGCAGGGCAGACAGGAGTCACACTGTGGGCTTTCAGTCAGCATTCTGTGCCCAGAGCCTCATTTCAGGGCGTAAAGGAAAGAAAACAAAAGAACAAAATCCACCCCTTCTTGCAAGCTCGTGTTTATCATACGGTGTCAGAGCATGGGAAGGTGCTGGCTCTGTAAACATGAGGGTGCAAGGCGGGGAAGCAGTGTTGCAACCTCAGCCTACGAGGAAGCCTGGTGGCAAAGGAGATTGCAAAAGGGCTGCAGGTTGGTTTGGGGAGCTGCTGTTGGCACATCCTGAAGCCATGTTGTGCAGCACTGCCTGCAGACCCTCTGTGGGTGGTGAGTGCTCCAACCCACTGCAGGCTGTGTGGCTTCTGTGGTGTTCCAGCGAGTCTGGATGTAGTGGAGGGCATCTGGGGGAGGCTGTGCCTGTGTGCTCTGGGCGGCCCTGGCCTCCTGTGTGTCCTCCCAGCAGCCACCGTGGGGCAGCCCTGGCTGTCAGCTGGCCTTGCTGAAGGGTGTGAATGAACCTGCCTGCTCTTGATGCTGGATTTCCTCCTGCTGGCTCGTTTGATGCATCCTTGCCCTTTACAGCCAGCTGCTGGATTTATTGCTTTGCAGTTCCGTGCAAAAAAAAAACCCTTGACTGCTTTGAATCGCCCCAAGAGATGGCACTCTTGGCACAGCTCCTGCAGCACCTCCTGCACTGCCCTGCTCCCAGCACACACTGCAAGGTCGTGGGGGGGGAGATGAGAAATTACCCCCCCCGAGGGCAGAGCCGTGGGACCTGGTGTCTGTTGGCTGCGTTTGAGGTCTGCGCTGTGGGCAGAGCATGAATGCATTCGGTGATGACTTTCTTCTGCAGTTCATAAAAGATTCATAGCGAGAGCGCGGCCTAAAAAAAGCTTTGCTGTGGCCTTGTCTCCTCTGGTTCAGTTACCTGAACGACTTGGATAGAATATCCCAGCCGACCTACATTCCGACCCAGCAGGACGTGCTGCGCACCAGGGTGAAAACGACAGGCATTGTGGAGACACACTTCACCTTCAAGGACCTCTACTTCAAGTAAGCTTGGCGTCCTGGGGGCTGCAGTGGTTTCCTGGGGGCTGGGGGGGGATCCAGACCCCCAGCAAAGCACCTCCTGAGCGCCGCTGCTCCCCGTGTGCCAGCGCTGCTCTCTGGTTTGACTTTTCTTTGCCTTCTTCTGTTCTTTCCAGCTGCTTTTGTGTTGGACTCGCAGACACAGGTACTGGCTGCTTGTTCGCAGGATCAGAACAGCAACAGATACTAAAAGGGTGCTGATTCCTGGCTGCTGAGTTTGAGTGGAACCCCTTTCTTTGGTGTGGGAGCTGAGGGCTGGCCCTGAGGCCCTGGCCTGGACGTGGTGCTGCTGTGTGCACACAGGAGTGCTGTAGGGACTCCTGGCCCTCTGTGTCCCCTGCCTTGCTGGCTCCCAGCTGTGCCCCTGTCAGCGTGACCCATAGAGCTCCCTCTGCCCCATAGCAGCTGCTGGAGTGCAGCTGAGCTCCCTGCCCTTAGCACTCAGCCCTCCCTGCTGTGTGTCCCAATCCCAGCAGGCAGCCCCAGCCCTGGATGGAGGAGCACTGTGTTGTGTTGTGGGTGAGTTTCCCTTCATCCTCTGGCCCTGTTTTCAAGCTGTTGTTGCTCCAAGCCTCTAAATAAGCATTTACTGGCTTACTTTTAGCTTGTGTTTGGAAAGAGCTCTAGCAAAACTCCGTGTGTTGCTTATAGAACGTGGTTTGCTTGCATGCCCTTTAGGAGAGCAGCAGTGCTTTGGCTTCTGTCATAACTCACAAATGGTTTCAGCAGAAGTGTTTTGCACCGTGGAGCCGTTTAACGTGGCTACTGGTTCATCCAGGGAAGCTTTGTCTTCCATCACAACGTGCTGGGATGTGTTTCCAGCTGCAGGGCGCAGTGCTCTTGGCGAAGGCATCGCGTGTGATGGATGGGAGCTGCTGGGGGCAGCAGGCTCCCTTCAGCATCACAGCCCTTCTGCTGCCTGCAGACGGGGGGCTGCTCCTTCCCTGCCCTCCTGGAGGCAGGAGGTGTTTGTCACGGAGGGGTTTTGCTCCACAAAGGAAGCAGGGAGCTGCCTTCCCCCTGTGGTGCTGTTAAGGCTCAGCTGTTTGCAGTGGGTCGAGGTGACTTGAATGTGGATCGGTTCGAGGCCGACTTGTCAGGGATGCCATTTCCTTCCAGATGAATCCGTGCTAACAGCAGCTGTGCTGGAATGGCAGGAGCTGAGCAAATAGCCTCTATCTGTGCAGAGATCTTCCTCTTTCCTTCTGGGGAGCAGCGGGCATTTGCCTTAAATAGAAGGCTGGAGTTGGCAGAGCTGCTCTTGCGGCTCCCTGCTTTGACGTCGCTGCTCCTCTGGGCCTGGCTGCACAGTGCCCCTCTTGTCCGTGTGTTTGCTGCGATAACAAACCCGTGCTTGTGATTTCTGTGGCTCTTGGATACGTGATGGATTGGAAGGCACTGGGCAGCCCTGAGCCTCAGCAGGGCAGAGTGCCGCTGTCGTCCTCGTGGCTGGGAGCTCCTGCGCCGGAGATCTGAACTGCAGCACCTCACCTGGTTGTTTCTGTCTTTGTTTCCATACATAAAAGCATTCCTTGGCCTCACGGTGTTTTTGCACTCTGCTCTCAGCAGCGTGCAGGTAGATAGCAGCGCTCCACATAAGCCTTTGTCAGGCTCAGCGTAAATGAACTGGAAGAGCTGATGCGAGTAGGTGTTTGGAGGCCAGTCAAGCAAACGGATTGTTGCTAAGGAAATGGGAGGCAGGGAACAAAACAAGCAGGGCCCCGTGAATCAGCAGCTGACGGCTGAACCTCGAGCTGTTCTGCTGGAATGGCTCTGAAGAGAATCGGAGCCCGGTGCGGCTCTGAGGGAGGGGGCTCTGGGTTGCTCCCAGGCTTCGTGCCTGGTTTGCCCCGCATCCCCTTCGTCTGCAGGCCCTTTGTGAGCCTCCCCCACCTCCCGTGTCAGGGCAGGGCTCTGTGTGGGCTCTCAGTCTGTGCTGTGCCTCTGCAGGATGTTTGATGTCGGTGGGCAGCGGTCGGAGCGCAAGAAGTGGATCCACTGCTTTGAAGGTGTCACAGCAATCATCTTCTGTGTGGCCCTCAGCGATTATGACCTCGTCTTGGCCGAGGATGAAGAAATGGTACAGCATGGGGTTCTGGGGGGGTCCCCAGCGCCTGGCTGGCAGCCCTGGAGCTGGAAGCAGGCTCAGGCTGTGCCGGGCCTGGTCCTCGTAAAGCCTGTCTGCCCCTGACTAACTGCACTGCTGCATCACCCTCTTCCTCCATTCTGCCTTTCAGAACCGAATGCACGAGAGCATGAAACTGTTTGACAGCATCTGTAACAACAAATGGTTCACAGACACGTCCATCATTCTTTTCCTGAACAAGAAGGACCTGTTTGAGGAGAAGATTAAGAAGAGCCCTCTAACGATCTGCTACCCAGAGTACACAGGTGGGGGCCCAGAGGCACGGGGGGGGGGCACACACACACAGGGGGGGGCACACGTGGGGCTCTCCTGTCTGCAGGCTCAGGAGGAGCCTCTGCAGTCCGTGGCTCTGTCCTGTGGCTGCAGCTCTGTCCGTGGGGCGCATGCTGGCAGCTCAGCCCCTGTCTGTTCGCCCAGGGGATGCGGTGATGCACAGCCTGTGGCTGCTGATCCCTTCTGGGTCTCCTGGCCGTGAGATGTGTGCTGCTGGCACCTCACCGCGCTGAGATCAGCGGCTGGGAGCAGAGCTGAGGGTTGTGGGGAAGGGTTAACGGTGGGTTGGGTTTGGAGCTGGATGAGGCCAGATGGCTGCGAGCCGGGTAGAAACTCAGTGCTGTGAACTGCTGGCTGAATGGAGGCACTGCTTGGTCTGTGCCAGGCTCCAACACGTACGAGGAGGCGGCCGCCTACATCCAGTGTCAGTTTGAGGACCTGAACAGGAGGAAAGACACCAAGGAGATCTACACGCACTTCACCTGCGCCACCGACACCAAGAACGTGCAGTTCGTGTTCGACGCCGTGACGGACGTCATCATCAAGAACAACCTGAAGGAGTGCGGCCTCTACTGAAGGTAAAACCGAGCGGCTGGGGCTGGGCTGGGCTGCGCTGCTCCCTCTCACCTGGCCGCTCTCCCTGCAGTTCTTCCAGAGCGCCCTTGGCAGAAGCAGACTTTGCTGCCTCGCGGGGGGACGGCGGCGTGAGCGGGACCAGGGGGCTGAAAGCAGCATGCAGAATCGTCGCGTTCTTTAGCACAACCTTCTGTATTTGGGACCTGTGAGCTGGTGGGGTGTCGAGGTTGGGGCAGGGCGGCCCTGGCGGGGCTCTGCGTCGCCCTGACGTCGTTTGGATGGCGTGACCCAAACGTGTACAGCTGTTGTGGATCGAGGTGCTGGGTTCCAGGCCTTCCATATGTAGCTTTCTCTCTTTCTTTGGTTACCAAACCACCACTAGTCTGTTTTTAAGGTGTTTTGTTTCGTTATTATTATTATTATATTTTTTCCCATTGAGAAAACCGTAACTTTACTAAACTGCCTTTCTTTCTTCGCAGAAGATTCTTGTTTTAAACAAAATAAAAACCAACAGAAACTATCACTGATCTATGCACACGTGAGCAGACCGTGCCCAAGCGCTCCTCTTAGCAGGACCTCTCTGTTTTTAACACTTGGTATTTCTGCCCTGTCTCCCAGGCCCTGGTGCTGTGGCCACGCGTTGGCAGCGCAGGAGGGCAGGAGCAGTGCTGATGTTGCTGTCGGTGGGCAGGCTGAGCTCTGTGCTGCTGGAGGCCGATGGCCCACGGCCTTTCGGTGCGGGGTCTGTGTGGACAGCATGCCTTTACTCTGTCTATGTGGTGCCAAATCCCCCTTTGCCATCGTTTTCCCCGTAGTGACGTTCGTGCCCCGTCGCTCCGTTCCTTTGCTGAAGCGTCACCCCGGGGCTCTTTCTCATTGTGTACAGTTCTGATCTGTTGTAGCTGTTGGCAGTATTAAAGTGGTGAGTGAACGCTTGGGTCCTTTCCCTGCTTTGTGCCTCGTTGAGCTGCTCTCCCTGCGCTGCGTTTGTTGGCTGGGGGGCAGTGGGGGGGGGGGTTGTGGTCTCGAAGCCCCTGGGCTGAGGGGCGCCCTGCTGTGATGTGGGAGCAGCAGGAGGGGCGGGGGTCCCGTGCCTCCACCCTTCAGCACAGCACACACAACGCATCCATTCATGCACATCTCTTTATTGTGTCAGTTTGGTTTTTTCCTATGCGAAGCTGCGCCGGTGGCTGCAGTGAACAGCGAGAGCATGCAGGGCTCCTCTACGGCAGGACGGGTTTATTTACAAGCAGCCAAGAGCAAATGGAGCTCTGAGCAGCGCGGTGCCCAGCGCCCCAGCGCCCGTTTCCTCTTCCTCTGCGCTGAGCTCTGTGTGGGGGAGCCCAGCTGGGTGCTGTCCCAGAGGAAACGGCCGAGATGTGGGGCAGGCGGGGCAGCTGGGGCCCCTCCTGGCGTGGGCTCGGATGTGGGGGGCAGCTTATAGAAAAAAAACAGGGGGCTGGGGAACTCCGTGTTGTCCTTTTGGCTCTGCTCAGCAGAACGGTGAGGTGGAACTGCAGCCGGCTCTTCTGAGGGGGGGGAGAGAAGGGAAACTTCCCCATTGCCGCCAGCTCTTTGGGGCTGGGGTCGCAGCCCCCACGAGGCGCCTCCCCCCCCTGGCCCCCCCTACCTGCTCAGAAGAGACCGCAGTCCTTGAGGTTCTCCTTGATGATGACATCTGTGACGGCGTCGAAGACGAACTTGACGTTCTGCGTGTCTGTGGCACAGGTCATGTGGCTGTAGATCTCCTTCACGTCCTTCCGCATGTTGAGATCCAGGAATTGGGTCTTGATGTAATTCCCTGCATCTTCGAACGTGTTGGGACCTGGGCAGGGAGCAGCGGGGCTGGGGCTGGGGGCTCCCTGGAGCCGTCGCCGCTCTCCGTCCTGGTGCCGCAGCCCCCCTTCCCCATCTGCGCCCATCGCTCACCATCGTACTCAGGGAAGCAGATGCTGAGGTGCACCTTCTTGATCTTCTCCTCGAAGAGATCCTTCTTGTTGAGGAAGAGGATGATGGACGTGGCGGCGAAGAACTTGTGGTTGCATATACTGTTGAAGAGGTGCAGGGATTCGTGCATGCGGTTCTGCCGGCGAAAAGGGGACAAGAGAGGGGCTGTGGGCAGCGCTTCCCAAGCAGCCCTGCTGTGAGGAGATGCATTTTCCCGGCCCTGCAGCCCCCGGTCCCACGTCCCCACTGCAGTTTCCCCCCCTGTCCCTCACTCACCACCTCATCATCCTCCACCAGCACCATGTCGTAGGCGCTCAGCGCCCCGCAGAAGATGATGCACGTCACCCCCTCGAAGCAGTGGATCCATTTCTTGCGCTCTGATCTCTGCCCCCCGACGTCAAACATCCTAAAGGGGAGGGGGGGAGCCGCAGCGGCACGTTGTGTCAGCTGTGTCACCTCCCTTGGGACCGCCGGGGGGAGGTGACATCTGCTGCTACGTGGGTTGGTGGCCCCGGGCACGTTGCCCTCCCCCGGGGGGCTGCAGCCGCACCTGAAGTTGAGGTCCTTAACGGAGAACTTGGTCTCGATGATGCCGGTCGTCTTCACGCGGGAGCGCAGCACGTCCTGCTCGTTGGGGAGGTACCCGGGGGCCGTGATGCGGTCCAGCTGGTTCAGGTAGCTGCAGGGACAGCCGTGTGCCGTGGGGGTCGCTGCGCTCGCCAGGGTTATTTGGGGGAGGGGGGGTCGGGGCGGTGCTCACTATGCGGCCGAGTCGTTGAGCTGATACTCGGCAGCCCGGTCGAAGCACGCCTGCACGCCGCCGTCCTTCCACAGCTTCTTGATGCAGTCCACCAGCTCCGGGGGCATCGTGCCCTCCTCGATGGAGTCCGCCAGGTTGAAGAGCTGCCTCCCGTCGTCCTGCGGGGACGCGCTGCCCTTCAACACCTCGTCCCCTCCCCGCCGCCGCCTCCCCCTTCGCCCCTCACCCACCGCCCGTCCCGACTCGGCGTAGTCGATGCCCAGCGTGGTCATGGCGCGGATGATGGCCAGGATGGACTGCAGGATGTTCCCGTAGATGACGGCTTTGAACTCCATGCATTCCTCAGGTGTGTATCCATCCTGGTGGATGATCCTGGGGGGGGGGGGGGACGTTGGCCGTACCGTCAGGCTGCTCCCTGCCTCCCCAGCGCAGCTCCGTTCCGCTCTGGGGGCGCAGGGCGGCAGGGAGACCCCGACCCCACGGCGCCCCGCAATGGGGGGAAGCATCTGGGCCGCAAGGACGCCGCCCCACTCACTTCATCTGCTTCACGATGGTGCTCTTCCCCGATTCTCCGGCCCCTGTGGAAAGAGTGGGGGAAGCCTCAGCCAGGAGGGACCCCCGCCATGGGTGCTGCAGGGACTCCCATGGGGCTGGGCGCCCACCGTGGCGGTGCGGGGCTCCGATGCTGTAAGCAGCTTAGGGCAGCACAGGAAGCTGCTTAGAATTAGGGCGCTAATCGCCTTCACCCTGTGCCCCCCGCCCCTCAGCTCTGCCACTGCTGCCACTTGCTGCCCCCTGGCCCTGTGCTGGGGGGGGGGGGTCCCTTCCTGTGCCCATCACGGGGCTTTGGAGAGATGCCGTGGTCCCACCCCCCGCAGGGCTCCATTCCCTGTGCCCACGTCGTCCCTTTGGTCCCCAGCACCCGTCTGTGTGCCACAGGGCCAGGGCTGAGGGGGCACCCAGCTCATAAGGAGGGGATGGGGATGGAGATGGGGTGGGGATGGGACATAGGAGAAAGAAGGTTGGGATGGGGTGGAGTGCGATGAGGATGAAGTGAGGATGGGGATGGCGTGAGGGTGGGATGGAGATGGGGATGGGATGGGATGGGGGCTGGGTGTCCTCCTATGGGACCCCCAGGACACCCTTCTCCCCACGCCTACCCGCTCCCCATTACTTCTCCATGCCCATCCCCACCCTCAGCAGGATCCCAGTGCCGCACATGGGGCCACGGGAACAATCCCATACCCTCCCTGTTCCCAAGCAGAAAGAATAAAGACATGGGGACAATTTCACGTCCCCACAGGGTCCCCCCCCCCCTTCCACCCTACCGAGCAGCAGCAGCTTCACCGTCTTCGCCTCCTTATCCGCGTCCTCCTGCAGCTTCTTCTCCAGCTCCTTGGACCTCTTGGCCATCTCCTTGTCCTCGGCGCTCGCCCCGCTCCCCATCTCCTCGTCCTCCTCTGCCAAAGCTTCGAGCTCCTCCAGGTCCCCGCGCTCTTCCAGGTCTCCTCGGGTTGGGTGCACGCACCCCTGGGGATGCGGGCAGAGAAATACTTTTAGGGGGGGAACCCAAAAAGGCCGCACCGGAGCGCTGGGCTGGCTGCTATGCGGGCCGGCTGCCCCCCGCGTTCTCCCTTAATTCCCCATGGATAAACCCGATTTCTGGGGCCCGGAGGGATTTGGGGGGGCTTTTTTTATCGCTCCCCACGTGACCTGTGGAAATCCAATTAGCCCAAGATGGCAAAGATTAGGGGCTGGGGGGGGCGGGGGGGGGCTGTATGGTGGGAAGATGGGCACAGGGCGTTACGTAAGGATGGGGGCCTGAAACCCCACGGGAGATGGGAAACCCCCGGGGCTGTGGGGTGCCGGCACTGAGGGCTGTGGGGTTTGTATAGGGATGGGCTCAGCCCCATTCGTGTCCATTGCCCCCCCCCCTCTTCCATGGGGTCGTGGGGTTCCTCGTGCTGGGAAATGGAGCTAATTAGCGCCAGCCGCTAACGAGCGCCCATAATCTGCGCTGCTGCGCCGCTCGCCTCCCGCTGCATAAGCTCTTTATGGGTGCTCAGCCTTCCCCCCCCCCACCCCACTCCTCCTCCTCCCTCCCCCCCCCATCCCTGTCCCCACCCCACATTTCTGGGTGTCACCAAAGGGGGGGGGGGGGGGCGCACACCCCGCTGCCCCCCCGCGTCCCCATAGCGGTGGCCGTGAGCCCCTCTGCACCCCACAGCACCGCCGCCTGGGTGTCATCCCCCCCCCCCCCCAGCTGTCCCCCCTCCTGCGCTGCTGACAAAGGGCGGCCGTCCCTCGCCGTCCCCGCGGCCACAACGCCTCTAATGAACGCGGCGCTAATGAAGGGGGACCCAATTAAAATACCATCGCCAAGGGCTGGGACTGTGCCCGGACGTCACGCAGCGCTCAGCCCGGGGTCGTCCTCAACCCCCCCCCCCCCCGGCCCCCTCTCTCCCCAATGTCCCCCTAAGGGCACTGCCCCCCCCCAGCATGGTGTGGGGTGCGGGGAGACCGGACGGCTAAAAATCCTGCCCTAAAAATACCGCATCCTCCAGCGCCGGGCTGGGGGCTCTCAGCCCCTTTTGTGCCCGTCCCGTCCGGAGCGGTGGCGCAGGTAGGGGGCACGCGGGGACCCGGGGGGGGGGAACGACAGGCGGTGACACCCCCAGAGCGCGGCCCCCGGCTGTTGGAGTGCGGTTGCCCTGTGGGGGGGTCCGGCAGGGGGGGCACAAAGGGGTCTGAGGAGGCACTGATGCTGTTTTTGGGGTGGGGGGCGTCCCTTGTTTGGGAGAGGCACAGCGCTAGAGGGGATGGTGCTGTGTTTTGGGTGGGGGGGGGCAATGCCGTAACTCCTGAATGGGGGGGGGGGCACAGTGCTGCTGGAGGTGCCAATGGGAGAGGGGATCCCTTTTGGGGGAGAGGGGCTGCTATCTGCTATCATCTCAATCTCTAAGCCCCCCCCCAGCAGGGTGTGGGGGTGATGCTGGGGTTGAGGTCCGTCCTGGGGTCTTGTCCTGAGGGAGGGGGGGGGAGGGAATGGGGTTTCCCCTCCTGGGGGGCTTTGGAGCCCGTCCGTGGGGTCCTGCACTTGGCGGGGGGGGGGCAGCGATGCTCATCTCGAGGAGGTGCTGCCCCGTCTGGGGGGTGGTTGATGGGGCCGGGGGGCGGCACTGCGCCCTGGGGCGGCTCATTGCGCGTCCCCGTGCGGGGCTCCGCTGCTGCCGGAGGCATCGATGCTATTTTTTGGAGGGGGGGTCCGACCCCGAATCTCTCTGGGGGCGGAGCGGCGCTGCTGGAGGAACCGACGCCACTTTGGCGGGGAGGGGGGGGGCGCAATAGCAGCACCCCACGTCCCGGGGCTTCACACCGCTCGGCTGGGGGCAGCACCGATCCCCATCCTCCATGGCTTCTCGCCCCGCCCCTCGGTGCGGCCGCGCGTTCCGGCAGCCTTCATCCCTCCTCCTCCTCCTCTTCCTCCTCCCCCCGCCCCATCCTCTTCCTCGGTCGCTTCCGGGCTCTCCCTCCGCCGGGGACTTTGCTCGGGCTCCGCTTCCCGCATCAATCATCAACCCGGGGGGGAGGGACCGCCGCCATTCCTGGCCCCCCCCCCCCCAACCCCCCCGCACCGTCCCCGCAGCGCTATGGCCGCCCCGGCCCACTTCCCCTTCAAGAAGCGGGGCAGCCTGCAAGCGGCCGGCCCCGCAGGTGAGCCCCCCCGGCCCGTAATGCTGTGCCCGCGGTGGGGGGGGAGCGGCTGTGGGGGGGGACGGGACGTGCGTGGGGTTCGGGTGAGCGGTGCGGGGCTGCGCTGCTCCTGGGGGGCTTGGGGGGGGGGGGCGGTCCCGGTGTTGCGTCCTTTCCCATCCCTTCCCATCCATCTCCCCCCCTCCGTTCGGGCAGTGAGGGGTGGGTGTGGGGGGGGCTCTGCGGCTGTGCTGTGGCGCAGCGCTGTGTGCGTTGTGGGGGGGGGAAGGAGGAGGAGGAGGAGGAGGAGGAGGAAGGCTGCGCTGGCACATACGTGGGGCTGTGCCCCCCCCCCCTTCCCCCTCAGCGCTGCGGATGGGGTCGGGGGGTTTCCCCGTGGCAGCTCGAGTGAGCTGTGACATGGGCACCTTCGGCGGTGCCGTGGGGGGGTCCCACAGCTGCCCCCCGCTGTCACTCCCACTGCTGTAACATCCCCCCCCTTATGGTGAGCGGGGGGGGGGGGGGGAGATGGCGCTGCCTCTGTGTGCCCCCATTGCTGTGGGATGCGGATCCCAGGGGCTGCAGACCCCCCCCCCGGGGGGCTCACACGCTGTCTGTGCCTGCAGAGGTGCGGGGGGGCTCCCGGCCATTGCAGTCAGCTCGTTCCCTGCCCGGCACCCCGCACTGCCTCAAGCATTTCCCAGTCGATCTGCGCACCTCCATGGACGGCAAATACAAAGAGATCGCCGAGGTGAGTCATCCCTGCACCGAGTCGGCCGGGTCTCAGCTTCTGGAAGGCAGGGGGGGGGTTGGATGCAGGGGGGGCTCAGCTGCCTCCCGATCCCCAGTGCGCCTCCCTGTGCCCGTGGCGGCAGCGCGGTGACGCCGTGCTCTGCAATGAGTTGGGGGTTGGAAGGAGGGCGATGGCGGCGGGCTGAGGCCGGACGCAGCTCGTGACACGGTGGCCACGCAGGAGCTGTTCTGCCGCTCGCTGGCCGAGAGCGAAATGCGGACGGCGCCGTACGAATTCCCTGAAGAAAGCCCCATCGAGCAGCTGGAGGAGCGGCGGCAGCGCCTGGAGCGCCAGATCAGCCAGGATGTCAAGTAAGGGGGCGCCCCCCCGTCCCCCCCCATCCCGTGGGTGTCCCCCCCTCCTGGGGACGGCCGCCGTCACCCCGGGGCTGTCCGTCCTCTGTGCGCGCTCTGTCCTCTCCCGTGGGTGTCAACGCTTGCTGTCTGATCTCCTGGTTTATCTGGGCTCTGTCCGTTCCTGTGGGGCATTAACGGGGTGTTTTCTCTCCCCCTCCTCCCCACCCCCCCCCCACATCCCCTCTCTCATCCCGGCGTCCCCAGACTTGAGCCCGACATTTTGCTCAGAGCCAAACAGGACTTCCTGAAAGTTGACAGTGCCGCCGACTTACAGTGAGTGTCCGGCGCGGTGACACCGGGGCTCAGGGACCCCCCCCCAGCCCCCCCCCCCCCCCAAACCCCAACAGCCCCAGCACAGAGCCAAGAGCTGCCCCCGCCCTGTGTCCATGCTGGCACTGAAGGGGTTAACGCACGGTGGGCAGGAGGTGTAGGGATGGGATTTTGGGGTGATGGGGGTGATGGGCGCAGCGTGGCCCTGCCCCCCCCCCCACCCCCCCCAGCACTGCGTGTCCCCTCCCTCCTGTCTCTGCTTGGGGCTGTCTGTGTCACGAATCGTTTCGTTCTCTGTCCCACCGCCACTTCTCGTTGTGCTCTGTGGGGTCGGGGGGATGCATCCATGCATTGGGGCCGGGGTGGGGGGGCACAGCGGGGCTGGGGACGCCCCCAGCCTCCCCCCCATCCCTATGTGGGGGGGGGGTCCCAGCACCGTGCTGATGGCTGCGCCCCCAGGCTCCTCAAGGAGCAGCACGAGGACCGCGTGGATCACATCCCCAAGGACCGCGAGGCGCTGCTGGAGCGCGAGTTCCAACGCGTCACCATCTCCGGGGAGGAGAAGTGCGGGGTGAGAGCCCCCCCATAACGAGTTGGGCCCCACGGGTGATTTCTTTTTGGGGGGGGGGGGGGGGGATGAAACCCCCACTTCTTGATTTCCCACCCCAGGTGCCCTTCACCGACCTGCTGGACGCGGCCAAGAGCGTGGTGAAGGCGCTGTTCCTGCGTGAGAAGTACATGGGGCTCTCCCTGCAGAGCTTCTGCAAGACCACCGCCCGCTTCCTGCAGGAGCTCTCCGAGAAGCCCCTGGAGACCCGCAGCTACGAGGAGGTGCCCGAGACCCCCGTGGCTGCCGGTGAGTGGGGGGCAGAGGGGTCCCAGCGCCAGGCGTGGGGCTCCTCTCGCTGAGTTCCGTGCTTCCGTGCGCTTTTGGGGTCTCTCCTTGCCGCAGATGCTGCCGTGCACCCCCCGTTTGCAGAGCAGCACCCCTATGAGAAGTGGGACCCGCAGAGCATGCCGGCCGACCTGGGCTTTGGGTTGAAGATGGTGGATGGCGTGGTGCACGTCTACACCAAGCAGGACCTCACTGACAAGTAGGGGGGCGCCGCTAAGGGTGAGGTGGGCAGTGGGAGATGTGGGGATGTAAGCAGCCCTGTGTCCCCCCAACCCAGGAGCACGGAGCTGGACCTGCCCTACCCCGACCTGCAGGAGTTCATCGCCGACATGAATTTCCTGATGGCTTTGATCATCAACGGGCCCATGTGAGGAGCAAGGGGGGGAAGGGGGGCACCATGGGGACGTTGCTGGTGGCTTTGGCTGTGATGTGCGGCGCCAGCTTCTATCCCACGTCCTCACCTCCATCCTGGGGTCGTCGTGGATGCGCCCTGCTGCGCGCCCACCTTTGGGGAGGGATGTTCTCCCTTCTCTCCCCACGCTGACCGCCCTCTCCCCGCTCCCCCCCGGGCAGCAAATCCTTTTGCTACCGCCGCCTGCAGTACCTGAGCTCCAAGTTCCAGATGCACGTGCTGCTCAACGAGATGAAGGAGCTGGCAGCCCAGAAGAAGGTGCCCCACCGCGACTTCTACAACATCCGCAAGGTACTGCAGGGCTGTGCTGGGGGGGCGCCTGGGGGGCTTTGAGGCCTGAGCACCCACTGTGCTTCCCAGGTGGACACTCACATCCACGCCTCGTCCTGCATGAACCAGAAGCACCTCCTGCGCTTCATCAAGAGGGCCATGAAGAAGCACCTGGACGAGATCGTCCACGTGGAGAAAGGCAAGGAGCAGACGCTCAAGGAGGTCTTTGAGACCATGAATCTCACCGCCTACGACCTCAGCGTGGACACTCTGGACGTCCACGCGGTACGGGGCCGTCCCCAGAGCTTGGGGATGAGTGGGGCCTTCAGCTCAGCCCTGGCCGTGGGGGGAAGCCTTCTTCTCCAGGGCCGTAGAGTGGTGGGAGATCTTCCTCTCTG